GCCCCCTGGAGCAAAGTAGGCAGAGATTTGTTTACATTGGCTGGAAAAAAGCTATGTCTTCATTCTAGACTATTCTCACTTTCCTGAGATAGCCTTACTGGAAGATACTATAGCTGAACAGGTGATTGTGCATATCTATTTTTGCTAGCCATGTTATACCTGACATAGTAAAGTCTGACAATGGGCAGCAGTTTAGTGGGCATGGGTTTGAGCAGTTTGCAGTGAAGTTTGGGTTTAGACATGTAACTGCTAAATCCCCATTATCTCCAAACCAGTGGGTTGGTGGGAAATGGTGTTAAAATAATAAAATGGCTACTGAAAAGTGCTCTGGAGTCACACTCTGAGCCAGGCTTAGCACAGTTCAGTTACAGGAGGTACCAATGAAACATGGTGTGTCACCTGCGGACATGGTTTAACAGAATACTGACAAGTAGAACACCTGCGACGACAGAAGATGCTGTCCGAGGAACTGGGGATTTGCAGAAGAACAGAGAGACAGAGAAAAAATATAAAAAAAAGCCAGATGATTTGGGATCCCGGGAGCGTCCACCAAATTGTGAATATGATGCAGCGCACATCTGTGATGGAAATCAATGGTCACCAACAGTGGTGGTATTAAGTGAGACTGCCCTGCAGTTGTATGAGGCTATCACCTCAGATGGACTCATACTGATGAGGGATAGGTGACACCTTCTCCACATCCAGAATAGAGGGAGGAGGGTTGTAAAGTCAGACATTTGGCCTGAGAGGGTCTCAGTTAGGTAACAGGTCAAGACAACCAAGCCCCAAAACATGCCATCTCCGGAACAAAATGGACTCACAGCCTTCTGACAACAATAGTGCTGATCTGGCAGGGAGACCAGCACAGGGCACCTGAGAGATTAACTGAACATTATTAGCAAGGTTCGTTAATAGGATGGTTATAAGTGTTTGGAGGAGCGAGTTATATACATGTTGTTTGTTAAGTGTTGTTGTTATTACATTGTGGCTGGATATTGGGAATTGTACCTTTCAGAGCATTCAGCTTCCCAGACACAGGAAGTCTGGGGGATGGGAGCTGCAGAAGCCCATGCCCGGTGAAGCAGTGGCAGGTGCAACTCAGTGACTGAGTGAAGAGGGGCTCTTTCAAGCCCCTTGGGCCAGAGTGTTTCCTGAAGACCACACAGCCCTCTACCCAGACCAGGAGAAGGAACAGAGGCAGAGGCTCTAGAAGCTCTCAGAGCTACCTGGGCACCAAACCAGAGCCAGCCAGGAGCTGGCAATTCTTGTGTTCCTAAAACTTGTTCCACGCTGGAGCTTTGTCAGGTGTAAATTCTTGTAATCGAGACATTTTCTGCTGTTTCTGTAGATGAGCTCATGCATATTCATCAAATATTTAGATCAGGGCATTGAGTCACTGGAATAGAATCTCCATGATTTCTAGACCTTCAGCCTTAACAGGGCTGCCAGTGGGAGGCGATATGGTACACACAGCTTCACCCAGACAGGAAGCTGAAGGGAAGGGGGATCAGGGATAGATCTCTTATTGTGAATTGAAAGTCCCAGGACAGAGAAGACCTCTATCCCCAAGTCCAATAACTGTTCCAGCCCTGACCTGGAAGGGTTACCTCTAAAGGTGGGAGAAAAGAAAGAGGATTGGTTTCTATGACCCATTTGATCTGACTTGTATACTGAGATAAAGGGGCCCAATTAGTGCCCCTTATGATTAATTTATCTGGCAATGTGGGCACCTGTCCCACCAGGGTCTGGGACTGAGACCCATCCCCTCTCCACTTATCTGACATGGGGCCACCAAACATCCATCCCTTGACTTGGGCTCAGACTGTACCTAGGGGCCTAGAAGTGGAAGGCTCTGTATGCTAATCCTAATGCTCCTGAGCCAGTCGTTCTCCAGCTTGTGGCCAGATGGGACTGAGGCACAATGAGAAGCAAATGACTCCATCTTCCATTCTTGAACATGCCAGATGGCAAGTCCCCTTGGTTGTGATGCTTCTTAAAAGGGTCTTTATTTCGAGCCAGGAACTCCCCATACATATTTATGATTATTAAGCCCTAGTTAGTGGGTGGGGAAATGTGGCTCATGATGTATTTGCTTGTCAGGAGCCTGGTAGCGCTAAATGGAAAATTAACATTATTGTCTAATCTGATGGGATTCTCATTCTTATTTCAGGTAGAGTGGCTGCTCCTGGTGCATGGCCTGGTACCCAAGTCCAGTGGATAGTCTCCTGAGAGGAACAGGATGGCTGAAGTACCAGGACTAAGGGCACGTCTTCACTACCCGCCGGATCGGCGGGTAGCAATCGATCTATTGGGGATCGACTTATCACATCTAGTGAAGACGCGATAAAATCGATCCCTGATCGCTCTGCCGTCGACTCCGGAAATCCACCGCGGCAAGAGGCGGAAGCGGAGTCGACGGCGGCACGGCAGCGGTCGACTCGCTGCCGTCCTCACAGCCAGGTAAGTCGACCTAAAATACTCAACTTCAGCTACGCTATTCATGTAGCTGAAGTTGCGTATCTTAGGTCGACACCCCCCCCGTAGTGTAGACCTAGCCTAAGAAGTGAGACCTCTCCCACATCCAACCCACTGGAACTTGAACCCATAATTTGCTCCTGGGCCAGGGAATCAGTCTCCAGGTTTGGGGCCATCCAGGATTTTCTCCTTTTCTCTCCCTCTAAGGTCTAAGTCATGGTGACCTTACCCTGTTCCCAAGGAGGGCTGGACATCTGCTTCTCGCCTGTCAACAGGGGCCTCCATGGGCAATAAACAAAAATTCACAGAAGCCTACAACCTGTCCCTAACTTTTACTAAAAATACCCGTAAGAGAATCTTAACCTTAGGCTATGTCTACATTGTGCAGCTTTTAGCGGCACGGCTGTGCCGCTACAGCCGTGCCACTAAAAGGTGTGCAGTGTAGCCACTGTTTGTTGGCAGGGGAGAGGTCTCCTGCCAACAAAAAACTTCCACCCCAACAAGTGGTGTTAGCATTGTTGGCAGGAGAGCGCTCCTACAGACAAAGTGCTGTTCACACCGGCACTTGTCGTCGGCAAAACTTTTGTCTTTCAGGGGTGTGTGTTTTTTTAACACCTCTGAATGCTGTTAGCTTATAAGCCTGTTTGTTAGCCTGAGACAGAATTTTGGGTTTGACATTTAATACTCTTACATCCTTACTAATATGTGTGAAGAACAAAGGACAAAGATGCCGTGTGTTGCATTTCCCACAACCAGATGGGACTTTTAGTACAATGAGACAAAGGGATGGAGCTAAAAGTGTTACAGGGTATGGTGGGAGTGCAATATATGAGCGCACATTTGACGACTACCTCAACTCCTTATCTCAAAGCAAGGTCAGGCAACCGGTCAGGAGGGGCAAGGGAGGATTACGGGGGGAGGTAAAACACTAAAAGTCCAGAGAAATGCCTGCCCCTGACTGGAGCACAACCTCACTCCTTACCCCTCCCATGGGGTACAAAAGGGGTGGGATGAAGACCCCGACTGATGACCCTCCAGAACAGAACATGACCATAAGTTATAAGGGGTGTGACTAGGGGCGTGCACTGCATGTATATTTGGGCCTGCTAAGAAGAAGGAGGGGGAGTGGGAATGGGGAATGGGAGTGGGAAGGGGAATGATAATGGTAATAGGGGAATGGGAGACTGGGGGAGTGGGAATAGGGAATGAGGAACAGGGACACAGGCAAGGCTTTGCAGTGTCAGAGCTGGGAAGGGGGACACAGGGTAAATGCTCTGCAGCTTCAGAGCTGGAAATAGAACACTGGGAAGAGGGAGCTCCATTGGTGTGCGGAGCTAGGGGTTAGAAGAAGAAGGGGTTCCATTGGCGTATAGAACTGTAGTTGGAGGAGGGGAAGGGGAAAACTCTATCGGCATATAGAGATAAGCCCAACTGGTGTGAAGGGCTTCGGAATATGTTTGCTTGGAACTAACCCCAATAAACATCGCACAGCCTGCACTTCGAACTTCTGGTCTTCTGCTTTCCGTCTGCATTACAAGAACCAGGGAAGGGGTGGAAGGGAAAGCCCTCTAACAAATGCCAAAAGTTTTGTCTTTCACTTGCTAGTCTACACAAAGCCTTAGTCATTGGTATGAATCTGAGCCCTGCCGGGGGCGGGGAGGGTAGGAACGGGGGGGGGGTGTGAGGGTGGGTGTCTAACAGTGAGAGTGCTGCCAGGGGCTGACCTCCAGCAGCTCCTTCAGCCCCGCTGCTGCTCCTGTGGCAGGGGCTGACCGCAACTGCGCCAGCCCCAAGGGGGCTGAGCCAACCCCATTTGCTGCTTCAGCCCTGAGGCTGCTGCTCTGATGGCCCGGGCTGACAGCTGCTCCAGCCCTGAACTGGAAGAAGTCACGGAATCTGTGAACTCTGTGACAGAATTGTATCCTTACCAATGACCTAGAGGTGTAAAGCTCCATATCCTGGTTCCCATAAAGAAACCAATTCCCCACTGCATGGCTGCCTTGAGTGCAGGGGACTGGACTAGATGACCTATTGGGTTCCCTTCCTGTCATACACTTCTGTGAATCTATGGCTGTATTGCAAGTGGTGCCCAAGATGTGGAAGGCTCTAATCCCATTGAGTTACCCTCTCTCCCAGCATGGGGCTAGATTGGAATGAAGAACCGATCAGTGAAAGTCTCCATATCCCATTGCAATTCTTCTGTGCCTCCCATCCCATTCTTTAAAGCAACCCACAGGCATTGCTTTTCAAAGCTTAGATGTCCCTGAACTCTCACATCTTCCCTCTAGATGATGCCCCATTTTCAGGTCACAGCCAAGTGAAAGTGGAAATCTATTAACTCTGAGTGTTCTCCAAAATTTCATTTAAGGATATTTTGGAAGATTTTATCGGGAAGGTTTACATTTCTTATCAGGGCTATTAATGCGATAAGGAAAGCTCTGGGCTGTGTGTTTATAAGAAGCAGCACCTAGGCATTTCTCTACATTCACCACTCATCACCACTGGCTTGTGTGTCAGAAAACATCATGAAGTGGCTTCTGCTCCTGAGTTTGGTGGCGCTCTCTCAGTGCCGGGTGACAAAGTGAGTATTGGGGGAACACACCACTTTGGGCTGCTGAACTTGACTTTCTACATAGCAATGTGTGATTATCAAGGGGAGTGTCTGCACCTCTCTCATTCTTTTCTCTACTCTCCATTCATGTATAGGCAGCAGCTGGGAACAACCTCTTAGCTTTGTGTTGTAGCAGAGGAATGAGGAAGGAAGGTCTTGTGGTTAAGGCACTGGAGTGGCACTTGAGAGATCTGGGTTAATGCCTGGCTCTGCCACAGACTCCCTCTGTGACCATGGGCAAGTGACAGAGTCTCTCTGTGGGGATCAGTTCTCTGTGATAATATTAGTGTTTATTATTTGTATTATCACAGCATCTAGGACCCATAAGTCATGGACCAGAACTCCATTGTGCTAGGCACTGGAAGTCTGTCCCTTCCCTAAGTAGATAACTACCTCAGTAAGACATAAGAGACAACAGAGACATGCAGACAGACTGAGAGGGGAGTACAATCAGTCAGTTTGAAGGACAGTGGTCTCTGCACACCAGCAGCCAAACTGTTGTTATGGTTTTTTTATAGGCACGACGACAAAGGAGAGTTTCTAAGGAGGGATTTGAAGGAGGACAGTGAGGTAGCTTTGCAGATGTTTATGGGGAGAACCTCCCAACCATAGGGGGCAGGTGGGAGAAAGCACGAAGGTGTGTGATTGAAAATGTACCAAGTTGGCAGTAGAGGCTGGCATCATGGGCCAATGGAAGGTGGGCATCGATAGCTTGATAGCCAATGAGGGATGAGAGGTAGGGTGGGACTGAGTGCGAAGAGCCTTGGAAGTGAAGACAAGCAGCTTATGTCTGATATCACTGGTCTACAATTTTTGAGAAGTCATCTGCTTCAGAGATAAAATG